TACGTACTTACCCACATGAGATACACACAGAGTATCCATTAAAAAATACATACATATGTATACTTCTATGAATCCAACATGATCCAGGATGGCATCCTCATAAGGATGTGTAAAATCATGTTTCAGACATGTTATAAAATGTATGAAATCTGGAAAAAAAAATAAAAAGAGAGGACAATTCCTTTCTTCAAGCATTTTCCAAATAGCAGGTCTCTATCAGGTGCAGTCAACAGTAAACCTAGATTATAAACACACGGGCATTGAACAGCTCCTAATGGCAGGAAAATCTCATCTGTCCACGAAACGCATTAATACAGGAGATCTGTCCCTTTAGTGCACACAGTCTGTGCAAAAGACAGTAGCTAACAGACTGGAATTATCATCATATTTGAATTTGTTGAGCTTTCATAAAACTGAGAATGAAAAAGAAAACTGAAGGCTTTGAATCCACTTCCATTTATGTCACACCTAAGAACACCCAATTATTCAAACGAGATGTATCACACTGCAAATCTGGGCCAGGAGGGAACCCGATTGTGGAGTGAGGGGGCTGAAGAAATAGGAGGAGTTTTGTTTCAAGTATTTTGTGGGAGCTGCCATCACCTTTCTTTGCCAATGAAAGTTGCCACTCACTTAGTGGACCAAGATAACAGGTTTCACTTCTTCTTGGCCTTATCATGTAGCATTTGACAATTATTGTCCTTTACATTTTCACTATTAACATGTTTTTCCACTTTTATTCAACAACACTGTCTTGTCTTCTTGCTAAGGCTGCTCCTTCTAAGATTTTTTCTGGTTTTGGGAAGTGGGCGATGTAAATAAATCAGCAAGATGCTATCTTACCAAATGCTAACATTAGATGACCATCTTGATTATTTTTGCAAGGCTTCACAGAATTTTAGAGCTGGAATTCACATGAATAAAACTCCTGAAACAAAGGATAACAATCCCACGGGCACTGCACAATTCTCTTTTCTATGCAGGAGACTGATAAAATCAGCTTTCGTATTTTGTTTTATATTTATTCATCTAGAACACTCCTTGGTCAATGGCTTTTATTTGCTTGGTACAGAGGACTTCAGGCGGCAGAAAAATAGAAAAGGGAATTCACTTGCAGCCTCATCACAATGTAACTGTACACAATGGCTGGAGTAAGCTTTGGCAGTAAAATGGACACTTGACAATGAGGACAGGGTAAGAGCTAACCCTCTGAAAATGAAGCAGACTAATGGAGAGAAAGAAACAAATGGGAGAGTGGTGATTAGAGAGAAAAAGAAAAGAAGTTGAGGTATCCCGGCAGTTGGCTTTTCATAACAATATCTGACTTGCTAAATCTCAAGTTAATCATCAGAAACGCATGGGTGCTCTGGCCTCTTGTACAGAGATGTCCCATGCCACGGCTGGAAAAGACATACTTGTAAATCTCAGATGTTCACCTTTCCCACAGAAATATGCCCTATAGATGGCATCAGGTGCTGATAGACTCTGACCTATTCAAGGATGCAAATATTAATAGAAAATGCAGAAAACAAAACTTTTGTGCCTCCATTGGAGGAAACATTTTCAAAGCATTTCTTCCAACATGGAAGAAATCTCATCTGACCTAGTTTCCTATCCTGTTTGTTAACTCCTGGCTGTCTCACCTAAGGTCCCACCTGCTGTTTCTCCATCTGCCAGACTTTTTTAGATCAGAGGAACCTTCTGAGTTACACGTTAAATGTCAGGCAGGCTTGAGAAATGTTGTTTATGTCTGCATTTAAACAGATTATATTTTCCATTAAAAATGCAGCATGGAGACACTAAAGGCTAAGATCTCATCTGCTTTTGGTTCCAACAGAACAATACCCTGCAAAGACCATTATTAGCATCTTTTCCAGTAATATTGAAAGCCTCAAGCTGGGGGCCCAAAAGTATCAGAGAACCATCAGACTCCACAGAGGGACCTTGACCATCTGATCTCTGCCATCGCAGAGTTCTATGCAGACTTAAGAGAGGCACCAGGAATCACCCACACCTACATAAATCAACAAAAGGACTCCCTTTATTTTCAGCAAGCTAGAGATGAGAGCCCTGGAACATCACCTCCAGCCCACACCATCTATCTGACAAAAAAAAAAAAAAAAAAAAGTACCATACAGCCAGTGCCTTAAGAAACTCTAGAAGCAAGGATTTCAGCAGTTATTTTCTCCCTAAAAAGCATACTGAAAAGAACTGGAAGCTCATCCCATCAGTGCAGACTGGCACATGTAATTTGTATGAGAAGATCAAACGTACACCGGAGCTACGGGTGTCCTAGAACACCCACGTGAAGCAAGCAGGAATCTTTCCATGGATTTCAGTGAACTTTGGATCAGACCTTAGAGGCAATTAAGTAGTTATGCTTGGTATATTAGGATTTTACGAACACGTGTAGAAAACCATTCTGTACCTGTCTTTCATTGTTCTCCTGGAATAATTTCAGCTGTTAAATGGACAGCCCTGGATCTTCGACTGTCCCACAGCTCTCGGAAGCAGAGGTCTCTACTCAGTTTGCTGCAGCAGATTGTCCATGATGGATGCTTCCATATGAGAATCACTGAGCCTAGACTGCTCGTCCTATGAAAGCAAGGATGAGTAAAATACATGCTTCCTGAAAAGATGCAGGCATGTCACTTTTCCTTAAGTTTAGGACGTTATAATTTACCTTAACTTGCCTACAACTCTCTCAAGCGAGTGAAGGAAAGTCTCGGTGGGGGGAGGAGGGCATTTCTTGCCTTATCCCTCAGACAAATACAACTACTTGAAAGTCATTATACAAAAGGCATGTAACACAAGTATTAACTCTACGATTTACAGTAATAAAAACATTATTACAATGTGTTTAATTAGTAACCATTAGAAGATCAGTTCAAGCTGTCAAAACAGAACAAAACAATACCACGTGTTTTGTTCCCCTGGAGGACCGGGATATGGTGAGACTCATTATCAGCTCTTAATTTGAGGACAAAAAATTGCTTTTGGTTTGAGCTGAAATCTAGGCTCTTAAGGAAAAGACAGCTCTGAGGCATATTCCTCCCTGGCAGGCATTGCTTCTGCAAATGTTATCACAACAGTAGAAGCATTTTTTTAATACCCAGGGCAGACACTGAAAAAAACCTGAATCCAGCAGTATCTATTTAGTTCAGCTTTAGCATCCAGCACAATTCTGACATGTGCAATCTGCACGTCAGTATTCATCTCCCTGCAGGAAATAAGACAAGAGGGCATTTAGTTTACCTGGAAAGGCTGGTCAGACAGCCCTTCAGGAACCTAATTAAAATGCAGCCTGTTACCAGATCAGTGCATCACACTGTGCTGCCATAGTGACCGGGGGTCCCATGGACTTTGGGGCCACCTGAGGGCATGTTTGCAAGAGGTACAAGAACTAAACTGATCACCTATGGCACATTTTAAATGACCTGCAAACTCTGAATGACTTACTGATGTTAACCTATGAAACAAAATAATTAGCTCCTGTGTGCTTGGACAACGGGCTAGTCTTAGGAGCCCATTTATTCTTATTACTGTTTTTCACTACATACTGCTCCTCACAGCTTATTTAAGACTTCTTTGCAAGATGGGAGCAACCAAACAGTTTGATTCCCTAACAGAGAAACAATAGAGCAATCAAGATCTGGGGGTAGTGGAAGAGAAGATGAGCAACAGATATACATATTCTACTTTGTCCGCTATTCCCTGAAGTATCAGGCATCCGACTGCTCCCAAGTGGATGAGTCCCTGCTAGCACACTGGGCTTTTCTTCCCAAATCATTTTACTAGAATAGAAAGATCCTTAAACAACATTAATAATTATAAAAACAGTATCTTATACTGTGGCCTGTCCTGATATTAATTTTCCATGGATGCAATCAATCGATTTGCCACTAAGGCATGAAGATGAATTTTAACAGCAGAGATGTCCAGGCCAAGAGATTCTTCCCACACACCACCTGTGAAGGAGACTGCAAATTGTTAGTGGGTTGTTGCAGGTTATCACGAAAGATTTCTGCAAAAGATTACAGGACTTCAGGCTCCATTGGGCAATTTAACTACTGATGAAAAAATACCCAGAATTTGTCTGAAATTATCAAAGGGATTTAAAATTGCTTTGAAAAAAGAGTTTGACAGCGATTCTTCTGAAATAAATGAAATTCCTTAGAAATATGGGGTTGGGACTGGGGGGTGACATGGGAAATTGAAGCACCAGCTTTCTAAGCATCATGAAACCATGGCATTTTGGCTCACAGCACTACACCATAAGCTCCCACTGTATACGGCTGGGATGGGTACATACCTGGAAAGATCTATTTCATGTTGGGCATGCTAATACCAGGAAGGCTGCAGAAAGCCAGAAAGGAGCTCAGTTCAATAAAAAGTTGGAGAGTTCAGCCTCGGGGGTTTTGGGTCTCTTTGCACATACCAGTGTGGTTGTGCCTAAGTTTGGCCATTTACAAAAACAGACAATGATATTTACCTGTCTTCAGATCCATGCCCCAGAACACTGGAAAGACTACCCTGTAAGGGAAGTTCAAAATCCTACTCAGGATTAGAGAACCTTAAACCAAAAAAACACGGCATCATTCCATACCATTTGATCCCAAATAACAGATAATAGAACAAATAAGAGAGAAGTGAAAACATCGCACATTTAAATCTTTTTACTATACGGAAAAGTATCCAGGCAACATAATAACTAAAATTACTGTGACTAAAACCAGACAGTAGATTTGTACTTTTGCTAAACAGGACTTTATACAAGACAAGTTTCTTAGCACTACAGATGAATATACTTTGTCAAGAATTTACTCCAGCTGAGGTACCAGCCCTGATACCCTCATTCGCCACTGTGTTTCTGGTATAGACTGGGCTTCCATTTGCTGGTTTTGTTCCTCCAGTTCCTTCCCAGGAAGCAACACAACCTGAATGCTTTAACAGGGGCTTTTGGAGAGGAGAAGCGTTATAAATCATCACTAATTTAGAAGTTCATTTTTAATGGGTTACATTTTATTCGCTTCAGTTGAACACCATTATTTACAGACAAGTTAATAAAACACATCACAAGACAATAAGATTTCAACAGCTAATATTTATAGGTGCATAGTTCATGCTCAATTACTTTTTTTAATATGTATAATACATACGCATCTATATAAAGCTCTCACAATAAGTCATGTCTGCACAGAAAGAATAGTCATAGGAAACAAATAAAAATTGTATCATAAACAATATCAAATTACTGACAGCTTATCAACAAAACATGTACAGAGTTAGAAATAAGCAGTAGACACTTAGGTGTTTTTATTTAATATTTTCTTTTTTAACTTTTAAACTTGAAGCCACAATATCCACAGCACAACAATGACCCTGCCAACCAGCTTTCATTCCAGCAGGAGGGAAATGCTGAAACAAAGTGGTTGCAGTCACAGACGCTCCAATCATTGCTGATGGAAGACTTCAAAATACACTGTAAAAACTGTAAAAAAATTTTACGACTGGGCACATTGGAACTCAGCACTTGTACAGGATGGGACGTCTTTAGTAGTTGGTAGATTTCAGGAGATAGAAAGGAAGTAAAGGACTCTCATGCTTCAGGTTCATAGTCTTGATACTCTTCCTAATGAGGAGAGCAGAAATCAGTGCTACTCATATTTTCGGTAAATACATCCTACTTTCACGGCTTGTTCTAGTCCTAGTGGATTCAATGCCAAAACACTATAGATTTTCATGTGATCAGGAACTTGCTATTCATTCTTCTGTCACACCTTCCAGATACCGTACCTTACAAGCTGTTCTATTTACAGAAGAAATAGGCTTTTACAGCAGTTAACACACCATTCAGCTGATGTTGCCACCAACTCATGAGGCCACCCCATAGCAACTCAACTTGGAGAGAGAGGACAACTGCCTCAGGGCTGAACAGCACACCAGGTGCTGCAGTTACTCGTACGAGTAAGCAAATCATTTAAGTGTGCGTTTAACTATGGGTACGTGAGCAACCCCCATAATTTCAGTGATAGCCAAGGTGTTAGCAATCAAGCATGCCTTTAAGTCTTTTACTGGATCATGGCCTAATAGTTTCATACCTCCCATTCTCAGCCCAATTATCTGTAAAACTGCCACTCCAACTACCAATGCATCATGGCAGACATTGTAGTAATATTTTTAGATAGCAGGGTCATGGAAAACAACAAAATAATTTACTCCCATAATTGCCTTAAGACTATAATAATGAATCATCATGTTTTACAAAGCATGATGCTTTGATAAATGGCCAAGCTACTAGATCTATGAAGATGCAGTCTTTCCCATATTCCCTATCAAAGATAACAAAGATATAAGTTTCCTGGGGATTATTCAGAAACCCAGGCACAAGTGTTTCAAAAACACACAATATTTTCCCATTCAACTTCCTTGCTATCAAGAAAGCAATGGTTTTTCTAACTCCCAGCACTATACCTCTGGAAGGTCTTGGCCCAAGAGAGACTGCATTTCTGCTGTGCCCCTACATCTCACAGCGTCAGGCTCACGTAGCTCCAGCGTGCAGCCCCCTCCTGTGCCCTTCTCCTATGTGCATGTACAGCAAACACCACAACAGATTTACCTCTGGAGGCATTTCGTAAGCCTCGTTCTCAGGATCCACAGGAACATCTGTGTTATTCACCATTCCCTCCTGCAGGAAACCTTCTTCATTCTATGTTTGAAACAGGGAAATAAAAGCGTCAGACTGTCTAACTGCTTGCCTCATCATTTACCCACTGATATCCCAGTCACTCAAAACAAAGGAACAGTACAGCTGGAGTTTGTCCTAAACTGTAAGAAAATTTATATGGAAGCAGGCAGACTAGCTCAGTGGAACCATCTAGCATATAAATCATATGCTGATTTATACCTGTTGCTAGTAGACAGAAATGCACTAAAAACCAGTTACAGATACTCAGGAAGAAATTCACTTAAAAAAAAAACCAAAAAAACACAAAACAACAAACCCCTGCAGGCTGGTGGCATAGACAGAAATACAAAATTAAGTCAGTCACAAACCAGACTAATGAGGTAATTCTTCAAAGCCTGCAATTTATAGGATAGTGATGCTAAATTAAATTTAGGATATAGATAAAATGAGAAGAGCAGCTAAACCTGAAACTCGTCTCTGAGTTTAACGCAAAACAGAAAATACACAAAACGGGTGTCACTAAATCTTCTTTACCCTCATGCAGTGTTCATCATGCTTCTGCTGTTCACTGTTTCAGCACCGTTCATGTATCAGCTCCCTCTGCAGTATAACCAGGCAACCTTAATCATAATACCCTTTTCCTCGCTTGCTGCATCTCTCTGTGCACAAATTGTGACTTTATCTGCCAGATACGAATCCTGTTCTGCCTTGGTTCGGTCACCTCTTCTGGCACTGATGCAAGTACACAGGTTTTTCACCCTCAAAGTCCATGATGTGCACCATTTATTTCCATAATGTAGATTCTTCTCTCTAGCTCTTACTTCCAACATTAAAAGGTCCGGGATGAACATGTCTGGTCCCATTGCTTCTCAGTGGGGCCAGATATCCTTTTTCCTTTAGAGGTAAGCAGTACAGTCTGTGTGGAGTCAACGCCTATGATTCTGCCAAGTTCCCTCCATGCATGTGCCTCCGCTGCTCTATGGCAGAGATAACACAGACAAACTCCAGAAGTCAAGGGACACCGATGAATAAGGTTGTTAATACCTTTATTTTGGCCTGTGTCTTCCAGAGGAACTAATAATTTTAGATGTTCAGCATGACAGGTCATTTTTCAAGCAGGAAATTATCAGAACAACTGGGTCCAATTACAGTTCTGCCCCAGCTTATCAAAACACTAGAGAGCCCAAGATTATTTCATGTGCACTCTTAAATTACCCTAGCTTCTAAACAAGTTTTTACGAGTATTTATGCCTATTCACTTTTGTGAGAAGTAACATAAATCCCTATCAGCTTTGACTAAAATACCTAAACAATGTGTGTAATGCAAACTTTAAAGCTGTTAGAGCTGGTATATTAGATCAAGTGCACAGTAAGGACCTACAGCTCCATTCTACTGCTCTCCTGTTTAATCCAAAATATAATTTAACTTCTGCTCCCCCTATCATTAAGGTACAGTTTCAGCAAACAATCGGTACATCAAGTAAAACTGTGCCCAAAATCAGTCTTGAGGTTGCATGAGGAAGAAAGCATGCAGCTTCATGTGATCTGTAGCCGGAGAACAGATGGCAAGGAAAACTGCCAGGACCATTAGTAACCACAAAGAAAAAGATTTGCCAGCCAAATTTCAAAGACGACCTTCAAAGCTTGTATGCTGTTTGTTAGGAACCTCTGCCACGGTTCTGGACTGTCCATCAGGATTACAGAGACCCAATGCCTAAAAAAGGCTGAATTTATCTTCCCAGGTTCCTTTAGGGACTTCAGGATGGAGACTCCTCTACAGCTTCAAATAAAGCAATCAGCAGCATGGGTAAAATACAACATCCATCACAAAACCAGTGTTTTTCCAAATGAAGCAAATCACAAGCCATACCAAGCCATCAAGGGAACTCTGCCTGGGAAAGGCTTATCACCTTTGTCCAGCTGCAAACAGTAAACACAAACAGCATCTTTCATGTTGCTGTGACTGCAGAGCAGGTGGGAATGACATACTAATTAGTAACATTCACACGGATAGCACAGATGACCACATGATTTTTCAACGTAACTCTCTCTGCTTCTGATGTACTGTTCCTCTGAAGTTAGGGTATCCCAAAAGTAAACAGCTACCCCCAGTAACACAGAGCCATCTAAGGCACATCTTATATCATTATTTACCTCTTTTAAAACAAAGAAATGCACTTTTACATTCTCATGATCAATAACTCTACATTCTATTTCAGTTATGGGAGAGGAAAAAGAGTCAACAGACCAATTCTTGTCTTAGTATGCAAGACACTTTTCTCTTGAAGCTGCCACTTCTGTTTTTAAACCATATAGAAGGGCATTTCCAGAGGAAAAGCTTGCTATTAGAAGACCTGAAAAGCTGAACAAAAGGCAAGACTCGTATTTCTGCATTCTCCAGAGAACCTTGTGCCCTCAGAGCCCATGCTACAGACAACAAGCATTTGCAGCTAGCCAGAGCAGAGCACACCACATTGCTGTTCCCTGTTACCCATCACGGCATCAGTTTGTGCTGCCAGCACTCCTGCCTGCCTTGACAATGCTTCATGACCTGACTTGTACAGCCCAAGACCTACATGCCGCCAGGCTACCTTGCAAGCCCACCCACCCATTTCCTGGGAATGAAGGGCTACGGTGTACACCCTCCCTCCCAAATCATGCTGTGCTCTGCTTTTGTCGAGCAACTGATGTCAGTTTATAAACAAAGGGGAGCCAGTGTCCCATCACTGTAAAGTGGTACATTTGCATGACCCTCGATGCCAGTTCTGACACAAGGAACTGGTATAAAATAACTGGTAATTAGGAGAGGCAAAAATAAGATGTGAAGTAGAGCTTCCTATTTTATTTGCTGCAATGGCTCCAAAAATGCTGACAACTCCTTTACTATGGGAATGAAACCTGCTAAAGCAGTGCGCCCGACAGTGTGAAATGACCCACTTTTGCAATAAAATATTCAACAAACTAACCAAAAAGTCCTCCTGAAGACCTGACTCTGTTTAAATTACTGAGTATTTGCCAAAAGTTCAGGACTATTTCTTTTACCAGGAAAGTATCCTGAATGGGTTTCCTATTCCCAGTGTTTTGGGTGAAAAAATCACCCCCCGTTCTTTGCCTTCACCCTCTTTCCCACCTCATAACACTCCTGCTGGAAGGGGAGAGACTATTTAAGATCCTCTACGCATGGAAAACAGACCAAGTGGTCTGCTCACGATACCATACCTACATCAGCATCATGTGGCAAAACGGTCACCTTCAGGAGGGTGCATTCAGTCCTCTCCAGGACGTGTCTTTGAACACCAAGTTACTCCCATTGGAAATAAATTATTTTATCTCAAGCCACAGACAAAAGCAGCTTTGAAAGGCAGCATTGCAATTGTAATTTAGCAGCTGATCTAAGCACTAAAATTTACTATCTCTCTGGCTCATGACAAGTTTTTTCTTTTCATTACGAAGGCTGAAGGAGTCTTTCAGTCATGTATATTCTCATGATTATTTGGGACAAACTCCTTCTGGAGTGATTCCATATTCTGAGATCAATAAACTATCAACACTATCAAAGTGTCAGCTCTTAAAAGGTTTATCCTGGCAAGAGGAGATCACCCTGGAAGTCACTTCCACTAACCACAGAGGGGAGAATACACCTCAGGAGATCATCTAGGACAATCTCCCAGCTCAGAGCAGGGCTGGACCTGGCTGGGTTTTGACCAGCCCCACAGATGGAGACTCCACAATCTCACTGGATATCCTGGTCCACTGTTTGACCACTCAGACAGTGAAAAAGGTTTTTCTTACATTTAAATGGAGTTTCCTGCCTTCCAATTAGTGCCCACCACCTTCTGCCATTTCATCAGGCACTGCTGAAGGGTCGGGTTCAATCTCCTTTACCACCACCACCTCCATCAGGTGTTTATTCCCATTAATAAGCTCCCCCCCATGAACTGTCACATTCATGTTGCTGATCTTGTTGTTGATCAAACTTGCTGATTTTCTGTCTCTTCTTGAGACCTCTATGAAATATCCTGTGCAGATGTATTGAAAGGCTTACTTCTCTTGTAGAAAGCTCTACCGTCCACAATCAATTATATAGAGAAAAATAAGGCGTTTGAGGCAAGCCTCACCTAACAAATTAGCGTGATGTGAGAAGGCATAGTTAATTTCAACAAAATAGATTATTATAACCTCAACGAGCACTGGTCACACCACAACACTTGCCAGTCTCCGATTGTGTGCTTTATAATTATTGACTAACTGTGAACCAAGATAAAAGGCACTAAAGAAAAAGCAGTGAACCAGAACAGGGAAAAAAGCTGGTTTACAAGACAATTTTGGTATGCCTCTTGTAAAGACCTTTAAGTCACTTTTGGAAAGACCTTTGAGAACCCCAACAAAACATTCCATGCAAAGCATTTTTAATGTAGTTCAGTTTACTGTACATACACACCAGTGGGTACCTGGGGAAGCTTAAAATACAAATAAGAATGCAAAAAATATTAAAAAAACAACACATCCAATAGCATTATAATCTTGCAAAATAACCATGTATTGTTAGATGAGAGTAAGGGTAGCATTGCCTTAGACTGTGTCTCTACAAGGGGGGCATTCATTACTACGTTTGTCTCCAGGAGCAGCCACTACACATACTGAAGCTCTGCTTTCCCGGGAAGTGGCCGGACATCGCTTACTGAGGGGAAGCAGAGAATAACATCTTTGTTTTCCTTTTGTTTCTGTGCACAGCCTTGGCCTTTGGTTTTATTAACCTGCTTTTACCTTGACCCATGAGTTTTTCATCTTATTCTCCCCCTTTATTTTGCTGAAGGGGGAGTGACAGAGGGGCCTGGTGGGCACCTGGCATCCAGCCAAGGTTAACCCACCCACATGTACATCTTTGTGAACCTGGATATAAAGTCTAGACCAGTACTAGTGAATTATTGAATTTGCTGTTACAGCCTGGATTATTTTACTGCTGATCTGTCTTTATTACTACAACATTATTTAGAGATTTTTTTTTTTTATCCTTAAAGCTGTTGGGATTGTGC